ACCCAAAACAAAAAATCATATTGATGTGAATGAGGGGGAGGGCAGAGTGGAGACCCAAAGCCCATCTGTAGACAATTGGACATCCCCTTACAGAAAGGTCACAAGGAAGACGAGCCAGTCTGGGTACAGTATAGCACTGACAAAACATACAACTCACCCCTCCCCCCCGAAAGTTATGACTCCACTGCTACTTTACAAATCGGGCTATAACAAAGTATGTACACTAGTACAGACAAGAGCTCGAAACACAGGGAGTCCAGGACAGATAAACCCCTCAGTACCAATAATGAGAGTAGCAATACCAGAAGGGGAAGGAGAAGGTGGCGAACGGGCGTGGATGTGGGGGGTGGGGGAGGAAACCAATCACAATGACGGACATATACAGGGGGACAGACAACAGAAAAGTGAGTAAAGGGAGACAGTGGTGGCTATAAGACATGAAAAAAAATAATTTATAAAGTATCAGTGGATCATGAGGGAGGGAGGGTGAGGGAGAGGAGAAATGAGCTGATACCAAGGGCTCAAGTACAAAGGAAATGTTTTGAAAATGATGATGGCAACATATGTACAAATGTGCTTGACACAATGGATGGATGGATTGCGATAAGAGCTACAAGAGCCCCCAATAAAATGATTTTAAAAAGAAATGAAACTCACTGCCATGGAGTGGATTCCGACTCGTTGGGACCCTAGCGGGCAGGGCAGAACTGTCCCTGTGGGTTTCTGAGATGTAACTCTTTTTTTTTTTTTTCCACACACACACACCTCTGAGATGTAACTCTTATGGCAGTAAGAAACCTGTGTCTTTCTCTCTCAAAGCAACTGGTGGTTTCGAACTACGGACCTTACAGTTAGCAGCCCAGTGTGTAACCACTACTCTCCCAGGGCTCCTCGGGGCTGGCGTGGGGGTGCACAGGTGCAGCCTCTGCCTGCTGCTCCTTGTTCTCTAAGTTCTCCAGGAGGCTGGGGTTGTCAGAGAGCATGCATGCAATATTTGGGGACATCCCCAAAAACCCAAACTCATCCCCGTCAATTCTGACTCACAGAGGCCTGGGGGCAGGGCGGAAAGAACTGCCCCTGTGAGTGTCCAAGACGGTGACCCTTCACAGGTGTAGAACGCCTTTTCTTTCTCCTGAGAAGTGGCCAGGGGTTACAAGCGCTGACCCTGTGGGTGGTAGCCCAACATTTAACCCTTACGCTGCCAAAGATCCTTGCAGTGTCGCAGTTACGTGTTGCGCTGTATCCACAGGGTCAGCAGTTCAAATCCACCAGCCTCTCCGTAAGAGAAAGGCCAGGCTTTCTACTCCTGTTAAGAGTTAGTCTCAGAAACTCACAGGGGCAGTTCTGCCTTGGCATTGACTTGATGGCAGTGAGTGTGGTGTGTTGTTGCTGTTGTTTGGGGTTTTGTTGTTGTTTTTCTTGTTGTTGTTGTTTTTACCTAAAAGATCATTCATTGTTTTTCTGAAACTCAAATTTAACTGGTGTGTTATATCTTTGTTATACTTTGCAACCTTAAGGAAACTAAACTTTTGGACAAAGTTCAGGGCTTAACCTTGCTTCTGGCCATTCCCACTAGTCCCTGGCCATTTAGAGGGAGAGGGAACAGCAAGGCCCAGAGGCTGGACCCTGGAGATCCCAGGCTGGAGATGGCTGCAGGTTTCACTGAGCTGCCCTTTCAGGTCAAAACCACATGGAGCTCTTTCTATAGAGGGGCTTGATTGATTGATTGTGTCCATTGGCCCAAGAGGCAAATCTGAGAGCCATGAAATGCCCCCGAATAATCACTTGGTTTCACAGGGTCTGCTCTCTTGTCTGGCAATGAGGCTGCATCTATGGGCACAGTGGGAGACTTCCATGTCTTCTCCCATGTGGCTTTTATCACAAGCATGTGGGTTACACATTGGTCAGCAGTTCGAAACCATCAGTCACTCTGCGGGAGAAAGATGAGGCTTTGTACTACGGTAAAGAGTTACAGTCTCAGAAACCCACGGGGCCAGTTCAATTCTGTCCTACAGGACGATGAGTTGGAATGGTGCTGATGGTAGTGAGTGACATTTATAAGCAGCAAAAGATGAAAAGACATTTCCATTTGGCTACTGTGTGGCTCTTCCAGAGCTCCGAGTCTGCATTTCTAAGTAATTTCCTGCTCTTTATTTGCCCATCATTTTTGGAGCATTCCGTGACACAGCATTATTGTGGTTTGGTATTTAGCGTTTATTCCCCAGAGGATCCTGAACTCAGCACACACTGCTCCTGCAGGCTGGCCCTGACTGTCGTCTGGAGCATACCATCTGCCCATCGCTCCCTCTCACAGGTCAGAGAACTTGGCTTGACCTGGCCCAAGCCTCAGGGCTCTAAATTCTGCCCCAGCCCTGACCTGGGCCCATTCCTGGCCTGGGAGTGTCCCCAGGAAAAGTTGTTCAGAAGTCAAGGAAAGAGCCTGGGTATGATTTAACTAACCCTAAGACACTGGTTCTCAACCTTCCTAATGCCACTTTAATACCGTTCCTCATGCTGTGACCCTGTAGGTGGGTGTATCTGCTTGTGGGCAGACTTGCCTGGAGAGGGTGTCTCGGATCCCAAGACCATCGGAAACATGGTCCTAGGTGACCTCTGTGAAAGCGCCGTTCAACCCCCAAAGGCGAGACCTACAGGTTGAAAACCGCTGCAAGTGTCTCTCTCTCAGTATCCAAGAACCCCTCCTGGTAAGGTCCCTGCCTGACCCAATCCAGGGAGGGCTTCCAGGAGAGGATGCAAATGTAGCCAGGGACTCAGGAGTCACCCAGGCTGAGTGGAGGCTTGGAAACCTGTTCTGTGACCTAGGGCAAATGGCTAAGGAGGCTGGGTTGCCTAAGGATGAAAGGAGATAATGAAGGCAAACCACCTGGGTGTGCCAAGAACACACCCAGAGATTAGGTCTTATCTGTTCAGCCCTCAGTCCAGAGGCTTCCCCTTGGCCAGGGGCTTTCCACCATCAGTTCCCACAGACCCTGGGCTGCTGGGGAAGGGCCCCCAGCCTTCCCAGCGATCCTCACTCCTGCTGTGGGGCCAAAGAAGGAGCACTGCCCACTGCTGGAGCAGTGGCCGCTTCTCCCAACTCCGGCGCAGTCGCCTGGTCCACGACCTTGGAGAACCTGGGAGAAGCTTCACCCGCACCCGCGACAGTACTTTTCCACTGTACTGCTCGGCCACCTCAGCTGGCTTTCTGCTGCGCAGACAGGAGGCAGAGCGAGCCAGGCCGGCCCCTAAAGCCTCAAACTTCCCCGCCCCATCAGGAGTCCACCCCAAATCTTTGTCAAAGGTGGGGACGGGGCATGTGTTGAGTGAGCGGCAGCAAGAATCCTAGAAAAGGAGGAAGGAGACCCTGGGTGCACCCAGGGGGGCTTGGAGACCCCTAAGTAAGCCGGATATATTTGCACTGGCAAAGCCCTCCTGGATATTTTCGGAGATCCTTCTGCCCTTAACGCGCCCGCCTCCCATCGCCCCCTCCAATAATAATGATTTAAGTTCGTTCCACCACGCCTGTGCTTGGTCCCCTGGCCAGGAGCCGCGCTAGCCCGAGCGGGGGAGGGGACAGAGAAGGATGAGGGGAGGGGACAAGAGAGCTAGCGGTCCCGCCCGGTGATGTAGGCAGCCCGGGGAGGTGGAGCCGCGACGCCTGAAGGAGTCCCCTCCGCAGCCGCGCTCTTCGTCTACCCCACCAGGCAGCTGCCAGCCCCGGCTCCGGCGCCCGCCCTGCCGCCGCAATCCGGGCGGCAGGGACCGGCATCTCCCCCATTGGAGCCTGGGGGGCCCCTCCACCACCACCACCACCCCCAAGCCCTGCCTCTCCTGGCTTCCCGAACGACTGGAGCGACTCCCAGGGAAAGCCGTTGCCAGCCCAGCGGCGGCCGCCGGAGCATCTCAGCTGCCAGCCCGGCGGGGCACCGGGCATCTGCGAAGCCAACCTCGCTACTTAGTGGACATCTCCCGACACCGAGCGACTGCGGCGCCGCCAGGCTTGTGCCGACCCCCAGGCCTCGGATTTCCGCCCGCCCTCCCCGCCCCAGGGCACGACGCCCGGCTGCTCCGGGCGCCTCCAGCCCCTCGGGCCGCCACCGCCGCGATGCTGCCCTGGAGACGTAACAAATTTGTGCTGGTGGAGGACGAGGCCAAGTACAAGGCGAAGAGCCTGAGCCCGGGGCTCGCCTACACGTCGCTGCTCTCCAGCTTCCTGCGCTCCTGCCCGGACCTGCTGCCCGACTGGCCGCTGGAACGCCTGGGCCGCGTGTTCCGCAGTCGGCGCCAGAAAGTGGAGCTCAACAAGGAGGACCCGACCTACACCGTGTGGTACCTGGGCAACGCCGTCACCCTGCACGCCAAGGGCGAGGGCTGCACCGACGACGCCGTGGGCAAAATCTGGGCGCGCTGCGGGCCGGGCGGGGGCACCAAGATGAAGCTGACGCTGGGGCCGCACGGCATCCGCATGCAGCCGGCCGAGCGCGGTGCCTCGGGGGGCTCGGGGGCCCGCAGGCCGACGCACGCCTATCTGCTGCCGCGCATCACCTACTGCACGGCCGACGGGCGCCACCCGCGCGTCTTCGCCTGGGTCTACCGCCACCAGGCGCGCCACAAGGCCGTGGTGCTGCGCTGCCACGCCGTGCTGCTGGCGCGGGCGCACAAGGCGCGCGCCCTGGCCCGCCTGCTCCGCCAGACCGCGCTGGCGGCCTTCAGCGACTTCAAGCGCCTGCAGCGCCAGAGCGACGCGCGCCACGTGCGCCAGCAGCACCTCCGCGCCGGGGGCGCCGCCGCCTCGGTGCCCCGCGCCCCGCTGCGACGCCTGCTCAACGCCAAGTGCGCCTACCGGCCGCCGCCGGCCGAACGAGGCCGCGGGGCGCCGCGCCTCAGCAGCATCCAGGAGGAGGAGGAGGAGGAGGGGGACGACGAGGAGGAGCGCAAGGGCGGAGGCCCCCAGCGCGAGCGGCCCGAGGTGCTCAGCCTGGCCCGGGAGCTGAGGACGTGCAGCCTGCGGGGGGTCCCGGCGCCGCCGCCACCGCCGCCGCCCGCGCAGCCCCGCCGCTGGAAGGCCGGCCGGGAGCGTTCAGGCCAGGCTCGCTGATGGCCCAGGGACAGGACCGGCCCTGGGCCCTCCAGACTTGGCGTGTCCAACCCCAGCCCGCTTCTGCTCCCCCGGCACCCCCCGCCGCCTTCACCTTTCTCGCGGTCTCTGTTGTCTGCCCCGCCGGCGCTCCCTTGGGCAGGGGTCCTGGCTGCCCCACCTCATCCTGGCTCACGGTGGCGCCTTATTAAGCCCCTGATTATTGGGGGTGGGGGAAGAAGGATGTCTCCACCCCCATCCGGAGTTTCCTGGGGACCCTCTAACATGGGCCTGCCGCCTAGCTTTATACCAAGTCTCCCACTCAGACCCTCCCTCCTAAAACATGTTCTCATTCGAATGGATGAGAGTTTTCCAGAAATCTAGGAGGGCGGTGGGCTTGGATCCTGACCAAGATGGAGACAGGGAACTCGCTCTTGGCGCCCGAGCCTTCCCCACTGGGATGCGGAGAGACATTCTTGAAGGGAAGCCATCAAGGTGCCTTGAAGAATTGAGGCAGACCTCTGGCTAGGAGCTGCGGAGTTTCCCTACTTAAGGACAGGAAAGCTGTGGGCCTTAGGTCTGGTCTCTCTACCCCTTGGAGGACTTCTGTGACTTCACTGCTCCGCCTCTGGAGGAGCTGGACTGGTTCTGCCATCATTCAGAAGGCCGGCTCAAACCAGGTAACAGCTCTCTGCACCAGGCAGCTGCCCCAGCCTCTGCCCTCCCAACTGGCGCCTTGCACCCCCACGGGACTCCTCGCCCACCCCATCTCTCTGCAGACAGACGTGTGTGGTCCCTCACTAGGTGCCCCACACCAGGACCAAGATGTGGTCTCTGAAGGAGGTAAGGAGCACCTTGGGCAAGTGCATAGAGCACCAACTACCCAGAAAGTCAGGTGCTCCCAGAGCAGGAGGGCCCTAGCAGCAGGAAGGAGGGTGTGGGTCTGATAGAGGGAGGGGGTCCTGCTCAGATGTCTCTCAAAAAGCCCAAAGACCTGTGTCACCAACTGATCATTGTAAATAAAGTGGACCTACGTTTTCAGCCTTGCCACCATCTCTGTGTTGTGTTTGATGCCAGGCTCGCAGGCCTGGGTGGGGAACGAAGTCCGACTGGGAGTGAAAGATTATCAGACCACAGGAGATGGCCCCCTTTACTAGCAGGGGCTGTTGGGGTGTACAGAAGTGATGCCAGGAAGCTAGTCCCTGAACGTCCGAGGAGGCGGCCATAGCATGTGCTTCATGGAGAACCAGCAGCGCCAAGTCTGGAGGGGCATCGGCATCGGCTGTCTTCCTACCTGTCTGGGCCTCCCAGGATGTCTACACCCCTGGACACTCAGATGCAAGTGTCTCTGGGGCCCTTAGTAGGGGGACGGGGTCCTGGAATGGGGGCTTCTCAAGAAGTTATCCGTCTTTGAGCAGTTTCATGGGTGTGTCAAAGCAAGAGGCATAGGCGACGGGTCTCCCCACCAGCACCACCCCAGGGATGAAAGGGAGGCAGGTTATAAAGGAGTGGGCTGGGCCATCCAATTTCCTTTCAAAGGAGCTGGAGAAATCTGTGACAGTTGGACTCTCGCAGCTCCAATATCTTTAGTTCTTCGCCAAGCTGGGCTCTGATCCCAGAGTCATCCTCTGCAATCGCCAACCATCAGAATTAAGTCTGTCTCCCCGAGCTATCAGAACAGAGAGGATGCCACTGCTCCTCAGAAGGGAGAAGCTGGGGTCAATACCAGATGCCATGAGGGGATGAGGACCCGCTGGGCCCGCCTTCCCTCGGATGCATGGCTGGGCTTTTTGTGGGTGTTCGTCCTCTTTGTGGAAGATGTCAGCGCTGGGGGAGGAGCATGCGTCGCAAGGCAGCTTCTGTGGCCTTTGGCTGAGACAACTACACCCAGAATGAAGATCGCAATCATGTCCCCGTGCATCAGATTCATGCAGCAGGAACTCCCGCCACATGACAGGCACTGTCCTAGGCACTAGGGGTACAAGAGTCCCCCCTCGGAGCTCGTCTGAGTGCTTCACAAGTTGCAGACACACATACATACACAGGCACACCCGGCAGACACACCCACAATCAGATGAGATGCACATAATGAAAGGAGCAGTTACTATAATTCACAGGCATGTTCCCAGCCTCACCCCAGTTCTCTTCTGAGAGCTTCACAAAATGTAGAAATACACACAGACATGTTCTGTGAGCACCCCCCCACACACAGTTCCCCTAACTTATGCGTCTAAACCTGTAATTGTAAAACCTGGCTGCATGGATGGTCGCTGCCTCTGGGCTGCTGTGTGTTATTTGGCTAGTCACTTAGCCTCTCGGAGCCTCACTTATACTGACAGTAAGACAAGAAGAATATCCACCTCACAGGGTAATTGTGAGAGTTAAATGGAATCGTGCCCGTGAAACACTTTAATAAACTATCTGACAGAGCTGCTTTTGTGAAAAACAGTCATTTTCCAACAGGGCTGGAGATGGTCTAGCTGTTGCCACAGGATTTCCACGCTCCTTCCAGTCTGCTCCCTCTGGGAGAGTGGTGGCCCACCTTAGCCACAGCTGTCCACCAGTCTCATCTCCATTTTCCATGTGTATGCTGGGAGGAAGACCTTGGCCAACTTCCCTCCTCCAGCAGATAAGCCACAGGTGAGCCAGTCCACTGCTGCCCCCAGGCCCCAGAGCGGGCTGTTGGGCCCCTCCAGCTACCAAGACCATGCTCCTATGCTAGGAAAGGAGGGGGTGTTTCCTGGGAAGCCACACCCCACCATCTATATGCCTACTTTGCAGTCCCCCTGGCTTTGGCCAGGTAGAGCCATAATCCAGTGGCCAGGTGGTCTGGCCACCACTCATTTCCCATTCCTCATCCCTAAAATGAAAATGGTTCAAGGGTGGACCAGAGTTTTTCAAACTATGCTCCTTCAAGTCCACGTTTCTCCTAAGAGCCCTAGTTGTCTAGAGCGTCTAAGGAATGCCGTGAGGAATGAGAGGGAGATGCAATGTGGAGGCGTCCACCTCCCTTTCACTGGAGCAGCTTCTTTGATTCTGTTTGGATCATGGGATTACTGTGCATTCCATTGTGTTCCCTCAAGGTAAAGGTCAACTTGTTGTTTGGGTCAGGATTCTCAGTGGTATGGGAGTGATGTAATACTATAACTTGATTGATAGTTACATAACGATGTGATCTGATGTGATTAGCCATTCAGTTGTCAGGAGATTAAGGTAGGGTGCAACATTAGTACTTGAGTCATAGCCTTGGTCCAACCTAAGGAGAGTTTCCTTAGGATGTAGGGAAAGGAGATGAAAGAAGAGAGATGCTAGCAGAGAGAGAGAGCAAGACCTGTTTACTATCAAGAAAGATGAGCCAGGAGCAAAGCATGTGCTTTATAACCAGGGTCCTGGTGCTGAGAACCTCCTAGACCCAGGGGAAGAATGATGTCAAGATACAAGGAGATCTCCCAGGAATTCTGAGCCCACAGATGTTGAAAGGAGACAAGACCTTCCTCCAGAGCTAAGAGAGCCTTCACCTAGATCCAACATTCTGAACTTGGTCTTCCAGCCTCCCGCACTGTGAGAGAATAAGTTTCTATTTGGCAAAGCTGTCCACTTGTAGGTACTTCTGTTTTTGCAGCACTAGATAAACAAGACAGGATTCTACAGATGCTTTTTTAAGTTGAAATCGCTGGATGAGATGGTCGCTCAAATTCCCTTCTAGCACTAGTGCTTTCTGTAGCTAAGGCCTGGCTGGGCCATCTAGGCCTCTTAAGACATCAAGGGGGAAAGGAGGACTCAAACTTGACCTTCCAGGGAGAGAGAGGAATGGATCCTCGGGGTCAGCATTTCAGAGTCAACTCCCTCCTCTGGGACCTTATTTTCATGTCATCAGGTCCCACCGCAGTGGGAATGGGCTGCGAGTAATGGAATATAATGTGCTCACGGGATGAAGTCAGTTGGCCCTGCCTGCTGATCCCATTCTGATTCGCTATGCTCCTCTTCCCCAACGCGGCCCTGCCCTGTGCTCCCTGGTTCCCCTAGGTGCCCAGGAGTTCCCAATTCTACCCAGAATCCATCCTCTTAGGCTACCAAACCCTCTTCCTGCCAATGCACCTCCAGCACAGCCTCAGCCGCCTGTCAGCAGAGGCTTGGAAGCTGCTATGATGCCGAGCAGGTTTTACTGAGCTTCCAGACAAGGTCAGAGGAGGAAGAAAGGCACGGCGATCTACTTCAAATACATGTGTTGTTGTTGAGTGCCACCGAGTCGGTTCCGACCTACCGCGACCCTACGCACCGCAGAAGGAAACGGCAGTCTGATCCCACTGTGCATGATGTCCCCACCGAACCGGACTCACCAGCAGCCAAACAAAGACCCCTCGTTACAATCCCAGGTCCAGAGCCACTTCCTCCAAACTCTCTTTCACGCACAGCCACTCTCCCAGCCACTTCCAAATCTGGGAAAACCAGGCCTGCGGGCTCAAAAAGGGGCTGATCGCTGCTGTGCTTGCAGCCCTTGTTTGGGGGATCTTGGCATGCGGTTCTCTGTGTCAGGATCTTGTCTCTCATGCGCCCTTCTTCCTTTCCTCAGGGATGTGCCAGGAATACCGCAAGTAGGTGGCTTAAATGACGGCACCCACTCTAGGGGTGCCGGGGTGGGGTGGGGGTGTGGAAGGACCTCGTGTCTGCCAGCATCCTCAGTTCCCGGGTCTCATTATCAGGTGACATGGCACCTGTCTTCCTGTTTGGACTTGCTTGTGCGACTTGGTGGCCATACTGCTTTTCATCAGCTGGAGGAAACACCAACACTGATGTGGTCTCATTAGCATACAATAGAGAACCCTGTTCCCCAAACAAGATTCCACCCACAGATACAAACCCCAAAGCCAAGCCCTTTGGCATCGGTGTGATTCTGACTCATGGCGCCCCTGGTGTGACAGAGTGGAACTGCTCCATAGGGCTTTCTTAGCTGTCATCTTTGGGGAAGCAGGACACCAGGCCTTTCTTCCGCAGCAGCACTGGGTCAGTTTGAACGGCCAACCTTTTAGGTTAGTAGCCAAGAGTCACAACAGGCTCACACATACAAACGATGGTGAGGATGCTGCAGGATCTCGCAGTGTTGTTCTGTTGTGTAGAGGGTCACTATGAGTAGGAACCAACTCAACAGCACCTTACCACCACAACAGCCGAGCGCAAACCAGTTTGTGCCATCTGCAGACTTTGCCCACAGGTCCCAACACATGCTTGGAGGACGTGGGGGTGGGGGAATACACAACATCATCAAAGCATGTCCATCTTCATTCCCTAGGCCCCTCCAATGCAGAGAGTCAGGGCGCCACCACAGTTTGTTGAATGAAGACCTGCATGAATGAGCCAGATGGAAGAGTCATCCCAGAGAGGAAACCAAGTGGGTGGAAAAGCGATCCGTTAGCCAAGCTTCTGCCTGAGATACGGAAGGAGAAATGTCCTCAGGCACCCTGTTCGGCGACAGCTGTCGTGGAGAGGAAACCAGCCTCCTAGGAGGTGAGGCCTTGGATTCTGGGGTCTGCTCAAGTTCTGAAGCCCCAGGAGGAGCTGGCTAGCTCAGGCCCCCGCACAAGCTGGCACTCCAGGTGCAGCCGGGCAGTAATCAGCTACCTACCAGACACTCTGGCTAATGTTTGCAGACTCCGAGTGGGCAGTTGGAGGATCACCGGGCAGGTGTAATCTCTGAGTTAACCCCACAGTTGGTAGAACCTGGGATTTGGCATTTAAACAGCAATAATAAAACCACCCAGCACCACTGAGTTTTCAGTGCATAGGAGCCCCGTATAGGTTTTCCTGGGCTGTTAACTTTTACAGGAAGATAGCCTTTTCTTTCTCCCTAGGAGCAGCTGGTGGATTTGAACCACTAATCTTGTAGTTAGCAGTGCAACCCTTACCCGGCAGCGCCACCCAGCCCCAGTATTACCACTTGATGGTTGTAGAACTTGCAGCCTCAGTATTCCATCGGTAAGAATGGAGATGAGTCTGGATCTTGTCTGGTCATCAGGAAAGTGAGGTGTCACATCTGGATGACTTATTTGGCACCA